AAAAACAGGGGAAGCGAGCCATGTGGGATGAATTACGAGAGCCCTGATACCAACATACGGCAGGACACGTCCCTCGTCCCTCTCCAGTACTTGTTTTATAGTGCATACGTCATGACGTAAAAGGTCGATTTGCACAAAGCGATGCTGCGTTTCTCATTCATATAAATGGAGATTTCGAAGTCTCAAAATTCTTTACGTATCTTGGCCAGGAATTTTCTTGGCTGCCGTTCGTAATTTTCGTTCATATTATAACCTTTTTCTGTTTACAGATACTAACTATATACATTTAGAGAAATCAATAATTGTTCTTTCTTTTGAACCGATATTTAATTGTTGTGTCCACTTCTAGTAATAGATATTAATGAAAGATGTGCTTATTTTATCATTTTATCATGCGTTTCATGTTATATGTTTTATTATTTGTCACTTACGATAATAATAAAAAAAAACCTGTCTATAAAAATGTTTGTAGTTTATGCGAAAGATGAACTGTCGGAATTACACATTATTTTGTTGTTACATTAGGAAATTAACATGCGTTTGAAACAGTTGTACTAATTAAGCAAGTACATACATACCAGATTAACTATTATTACACTTAACATAAAAGCTTCTTAGAGCCGACAAAAATTTCATACAAGGAACAATTTCTGTGTATATTATTTCTCTGTATACTCTCAGAAGTATCGAATATTTTTTCAAGATTATTTTTACACCTCATCTTCATTCATGCTAGGCGACAGTACGTTTTTATTTAAGATGTCGAATTTTTTAAAGTATTTTTCCCTTGTATAACCTTTTCCGAAATATAAGTGACCGTTTGTTCCATTATCTACAATAGAATACACCTCACTTCTTCCGTTGTTTGTCTAGGATTTTCATGTGTCTTTTTTTCTGTCTCCAGGTCTAAATTTTATAAATGAATTTCCAAAATCAAACAGGGTTTACTATGATTCATCATGAAACAAAAACAAGAACACGTTCTTTGGTAAATCTCAGAAGAAAGTTAGGTTATGCACAATATTGCCGTGATATATTATGACGCGCCTCAAACTTGCCTTCGGGCCGCTACCGCGCCCCTTGATAATCACTAATGTACGAAATAAAATATCAATAATTTTGATTCCACAAGAATATAAACGTAGCTATATAAATAGTGTAGGACAGGGCTTCTTAAACTATGGGTCGCGACCCCAAATGGGGTCGCGTAGCAAAATTTTGACGACTGTAATGGTAACTCGCAATCATAAATGGGGTCGTGAATGACAAAAGTTTAAGAAGCCCTGGTGTAGGATAATCTTACTATCTAGAATCAAATATTGACGGCATCAACATGTTTCGACGGGAATCAACTCATTAGTTGGAGCAGAGTTGCAGAGATAACAAACTCGCAAATTCTCAGGTGTTTGTTTCAAAAAAGCGAAAGGAGGTATACGTAGCAGTGCCTACATTACCTTCATAAACACAAAAGCTGTTCGTTGCAATCGAAAAGAAAATAGCGAAGTTTCAACATTTATCAAAATATTGTATAAAATAGGAAAGAAAATTACCAAAAAGGACCGCTCTTGGTCCTTGTAGGCTTTTCCAGTGGTTTATTCATTTTATATTATTTTT